CTTTTGGAAGACCAAACAAAGTAGTTTCGCTTTCACAACGAAGCACACGGCACATTCACGACATGGCGGCGGCAGCAACAATACTACAGCGAGAATAAAAGTTACACCTTCTTTCTTTGCGTGAACATTTGGGCGGCGTTATGCAAATCTTCCCACATAGTGAGGTAGATATGTGGGGGCGTGTTAGAACGAGACGTTTTAGGTATGCGTGGCTGACTCTTAACTTTTATAAAGAATATCTCTTTGGATTTGAGACTTTAGTCTTTGCAACTTTACAGATCTTCTTTATGCACCAAGAGCTTGTAACACTCCAAAGAGAAAGGAACAATTGAAATCGCATCATATGGCCCCTTTAAAGTGTCCCCTGAGATTTTAACAAGTCACAAGCCGCCTGTAGTTCCTCAAGTTTGTTAAACTCTGGTTTATGTTTTCGTATAAAGTCTCTTACATTTCACTATGTAGTTAATTCCTGTCAAATGAAACCAAGTGCTGCGTTTAATGCTGCTCTGTGTGTGTGTGTCAGTCTGCAGAAGGACGTGGAGTGAAGACGATCATCCGTGACCTGATGGGAATCAGACTGATCGTTCACTCCTGACACTTTTAAAGTTGAGCAAGAAAACACTGAGAGTTTCCATCAGTGTTCAGCAATGATATGCAAACCAGTCCTTACTTTTATACTTCGTGATGTTGTACTGTTTTTACTGATTTTGTTTTAATGAATCATACTGTTCTCCTGCTAATTAAAGGCAGAGATATCATGAGATCCTGTAACAGATGTTTCTGATTACAGAGCCTTTTCTCTCATTTGCACAACTTGTTTTTCTCTGAAAACCTTTTATTGGAAATGAGTTTAAATAAAGGTCCTTTTATCTCACATTTTACGTGCTCCGTTATTTTATTTTTTTTAAATATCATATGATGTGTTAAGATTTAATTAATTTAACAAATTAGTTTAGTACGAGTGTGTGTGAACGGAGGGAAGTGTATTAGATCGTAAAAAAAAATCATGTCAATCATATCAAAATACAGGATATCTCTGTGAATATCACCGAACAAACTGTTGAGAAATGAATCGGATGTGGATGATAATATTTAAGGGTGTAGGTTTGATAAATTATTGCTAGGGATCATTTTGCAGTCGCTAGATATTGGTAGAGACAATCTCATTTTGTAAGTGACTTAAAGATGCTTTCTTTGGATTGTTTGACTATTTAAAAAAAGAATATAGGAAAATAGAACTTAATTAATTTGTGTTTCCTGCTAGCTAAATTTTACATACAGAAACAAAAATGTACTGTCTTTAACCCTCTCTTTTCTTTATTCAAAGTTGATCTAGATTAGTACAGGGAAACTACCCGACATTAATGCTAAAGCAGTAAAAACTCTATTGATCCTATGTGTCCTCTTAAGGTGTACATTTATTACTTTTCTGTTGACCTGCAACATCCCTTACGAAAATTGAGTTAGTTTTACTCAAAAGAAAAACATTACTAGTTAAACTGTGGTAATAGGCCTACAAAAAACATGGTTACTACTATTTTTACAATAGTAAAACCATGGTTAATTTTCCTAAGTGATTTGTATTTGCATACAAACACATTATTGTAAACATCTCAGGTTGGTATGACCTATTTCACAGAATCTATGAATCTCATCTGTTTATTCTACAGTATGCAATATGAACATCAAACTGGTGAGACGTGTCAAACGAACATACTTTCTGTGAAGAGACAGGTGCTGCGTTACTGTCTGCATGCAGATCGAGCGGGCGTGAGACACACACAGCAGCTGTTAAAGTGGATAAAGCATCCCTTTGGTGGTGCACTGCAGGTACAGAGCTGTCAATCAAACAGAAAAGAACAAAAGAGAGCCGCTCACCTGAACCGTCTCCACCTCCACACACCGTCATCCCTCACTCCTGTCCTCCATCACCGACTCAACACTCCACACACACGCACTCTCAGAGATGAACAACTTCTGCAGTTTGTTCAGGATGACTGCGGTGTTTGGTCACATGATCCGTCAAGCATTTTTAAATGTACTACTTTGTATTAGGGGTTTGCACAAATTTCCAATCCAAGGTATGATCACTAGTATCACCCTCAGGCCATCCGAGATGAAGATGAGTTTGTTTCTTCATCAGATTTGGAGAAATGTAGCATTGCATCACTTGCTCAGCAAAGGATGCTCTGCAGTGAATGGGTGCCGTCAGAATGAGAGTCCAAACAGCTGATAAAAACATCACAATCATCCACACCACTCCAGTCCATCAGTTAATGTCTTGAGAAGCCAAAAGCTGAAACTAATCCATCAAGACACTTTTAACTTCAAACCATTGCTTCCAGCTAAATACAAGTCCATAATCCATAATATATATAATAACGCTTTCTCCAATGAAAAATTATAAAACAGCCAATTTCAGTCCTTGATTATGATTGGATGAGCCACATTCTAAACCAAATAATCTATACACTTGTGACCTCAATATATCAGTAATACTCTTTTTAAACTTTTATTTTTTCTCCATTTGAAACACGTCATGGTGTGAAACGTCAGATAAGTTAAAAGCCATGGTTTTACTTCTAATAGGACCACGTTTAGAAATAACAGATCGTTACTAAATAGAGATCGTTAGCGGAAATGAACCATGCAGCACGTCATCTCTGCATTAATAGCGCACAATACACATTAGCAAATACTAATAATAGAAGGATAAATAATAAATTAGACGCGCACGCACACAGGCTCCAAAACGGGCTCCAAACCAAACCAAACGAAAGTCACGAATAAGAACGCCACGCCACAGAATTCTCAACATCAAACTCATCATAAAGTGGCTTCAGGGTGCGTTTCCCGCCCCGCTGTGTCCAGAGGGAGCCTTTGGAGGGAGTCGGTGGGTCGAATCTCTTTGGAGAGCGCAAGAAAGTCAACGGGCGACGGGAGGACACATCGACGCGGGTCGGGGGATCTTCACGAGGGCTGGAGCGGATCGTCGCACGCTCCCACAGTGTTCGCCATCTCGTATAAAAAGCTAAATGCGGTCACCTGCACACGAATAATATGTCTGAAAACACAGTCGAAGCCCCACGTTCCCCTGCCCAGCCGTAAAATAGTGGTACTGCAGTGTTTGTTAAGGCATCAGAGTACAGTTTATTGTATTATTCTAAAGCAAAGATAATAGTTAATTACTGCTGCAAAACACTGTCCTGAGACATTGAAAACCTTGAGATGGAGACATTCCATCTGATCTCCAACCTGTGAAAAGAATACAGCACACAACACAATTATAAGATTAAGCAGTAATGTAGCAAAAACCAAGGGTAAGTGAGATTAATATGAAATGATACACCAGAAAATGTATATAGAAAATATAAACAACAAATGAAATGATTTACTTACCCTTGTGTTTTTCGCCCTTACTGTCTGAATGCAGTTGCAGAATTCAAAAAAAAAAAAAAAAAATTGTGAGATATAAACAGAATTGTGAGAAAAAAAGTCAGAATTGCAAACTATAAGAGTAGAATTATATAGAAAAGAATTGAGAATTGTATAGAATTATAAGAAAAGTGAGAATTGCAAGATATAACTCAGAATTCAAAGGAAAAGTCAGAATGGCAAAATAAAAAACTCTGAATTGTGAGAAAAAGTTAGAACTGCGAGATTTAAACTTAGAATTTGAAGGACAAAGTCAGAATTGCAAAATAAAAACAGAATTACGAGAAAAAAGCCAGAATTGTGAGATTAAAAAAAAAAAAAATCATAATTACCTTTTTTATTTTTTTTTATCTTGTGGCGGAAACGACTTTCCATAGAAGCCACTTTGAAAACATATATATATATATATTATTTTTGTGCATATAGCGACATCTTCAGGAGCATCTGGGAACTTCAGTACTTCTTGTGCTACTCCTAACAAAACAAACGCCATCGTTCACCTTGTCTCTTAACAACTCATACTATTCCATATTTCCATTAGATTATTCTTTGTCATAATATTTGATAGTATTACATTTCCATATGAAAAATCGAGTGCGCTCAAACAGCTGTCCATCCACAAAATCACTTTCACAGACTTTTACATTAAATGTTCCCTCCTGGAGGAATGACCTGCTCAACTCAATCCCAGCAGCTGAGTCCTTAGCCATCTTCAAGAATCATCTAAAAACACATCTTTTCCATCTTTATTTGACCCTCTCACTCTAGCACTCTCTATTCTAATTCTATTCTTAAAAAATAAAAAAATAACAAGTCTTTTAGACTTGCACTCTATTCATTTATTAACTGCTTGTTTTCTTAAAAAAAAAAAAACTAACTAACACTAGCTTCTCTATTCTATCTTTTTCTTTATTATACAATTAACAAAAGCAAAAAAGGCCTTTAACACTAGCTTGCTCTATTCTTTTTCTATTCTATCTGTTTACTTTTTATTTATTATATGATAAAAAAAAACCTTGCTACGTGTACTGCGTTAAGATAACTGAGACTTGTTATAGCACTTGCGTATCATTGCTCTTTTGTTGATTTTGATCGCTTCCACTGTCCTCATTTGTAAGTCGCTTTGGATAAAGGGAACGAGGGTTACCATATGTAACTGAGACGTTGTATAAATATTATATATGAAATTAATAAATATGTTATAGGATATTGCAATAAATGTAAATAAATAAATTAATAACATAAATAAATAAAATAAAATGTTAGCATTAATAAATGGGAGTGAATTTAATTTATTTAACATGAAAATCACATGAAATACACCTTGAAATAAAAATAAATAAATAATTAAATACACCTTGAAATAAAAATAAATAAATAATTAAATACACCTTGAAATAAAATTAACAAATAAATATATCACAAAATAACAACAACAAAAAAATAATGAAATGTAGCAATCAATAATTATAAACCAAATGAAAAATTGAAATGTAAAATGTGAAAAATTACCTGAAATATGATGTTATATACACCTTTAAATGAAGAACAGCATGAAATATGCCTTGAAATAACCTATAAAAGTCTCAAGGGTGAGGCCTAAAGACGTGCTTTGTTTTAAATTTGTTTTCATTTCTAGAAATGACTTTTTCATGAACACCAGATTCAAGGACTTTTTAAAGCACCATTTATTTTATATCAAGCACCTATCAAATTCACACCCCAGCATATGTAGTGTCATGAAAGACCTTACAGTACTTAACATTTCACTTACACTTATAAAAGATTTCAGAGTAAAAACGTTTTGAATGTGTAGGTTTCATAAATTTAGACCGTTGTGTTCAAAGGAATTGAATGAAAGTCAGTACTGGTAATATTCCAATACAATATGTTTAATGTATGTTAAATAAATTATTGCACTTTTTAAAAAATATATTTCATTCAATACCAAGAAGTATAAATTAAAATGAATAGTATGGCTTTGCAGGTTAGCGCATTATTATCGCGTTAATGCATCAATTAATTAACATGGACAATTATTTTAATCGCGCTTTAACACAGTTTTTATTCTTATTATTATTATTATTATGAAAGTCCGTTGCTCACTGGCTCTGAATACACATACAGACAAACCATGGGTCACAGGAGGGGTGGGATGTTGATCAGTACTGGCTTGTCATCACGTGTCTCAACCAATGAGAGCAATAGGGAAGGGCCTAAGACTGCAGCAGCGCTCACATTAACACTCCCGATAAAATTATTTAGGCTAAGCATCAACATTCACAAACCACTGTTCACTGTTATTTTTAACAGAAAAGAATGCAACGTGCTCGTAATCACGACTTCATAAGTGGGAGATAGGACGTTTCCGATAGCACGTGAAGACAGCAGAGAAGCGCTCTAGCCCAGCACAGTGGAGTGCATCGTTTTGTTAACTTTGT